CCCGGCTTGTGGACTCTCTCCCTGCTCCCCAAACCAGCTCTCTCCATCTTTTCCACCTTCTTCTCTGCCTGGGCTGCCCGGGAGGGAGGTGCTGCAGGGCAGCATAACTGCCCAGGGAGGGGAAGGTGGCACTGCAGGGTCACCGAGAGCTGCCACATCCTCAGCGCCTTGGGAAGGCTCCGGTGACACGGAGAGAGGAGAAATAAAGGGGGGTTATGATCCCTCGAGTGTTTGAGTGGGGTGTGTCAGTGGCCAGCATGGAGGGGAGGAAGCAGAGGGACCATCACGGTCCCAGCGCTGGTTTTTGGCACAGTCCCTGCGAACACACTCGAGTTCCCTAAGGAAGCTCCAGCCCCCTGCTCCGAGGGGTCACTGGGCTCTCCTGGCACTGCCAGAGCAGCAGGGACCAGGCAGGGAACTGGACCAGGTTAAGAAACTGCCTCCATCTCACCTCACCTGTTTGTCACCCCATCCCACAGGCTCTCTGGCAGCCCGTGGCTCTCTGTGCCTCTTTTCAGGCTGTGCTGAAGGGGAAGGCCGAGCCCACCGCCCCCTGCCCAGCCGGGGTGTGTGCCCGGGTGTTAATGAGATTGCAGGGAAGGGTTTGTGCTGTGGGCCGGGCAGATGGCTTCTCCATCGGAGCCCTGACATCACTGCGAACCCTCCCTGGGCTCTGTCAGGAGGTTTTTGTTTCTAAAAGAACCTAAAGGTGATTTTTCTGACATCTGGGTGTCACTGGGGAATCAGCCAGGTGGGTTTGAGCCAAAGCAGCCCCCCGTGAGCACAGGATGTGTTTTCCCTCGCTCAGCTCAGTCTCCTGCCCAGCTCGGGGGGTTCCTCCTCAGCCCGGGGCTGTGGAATGTGTCCCGTGAGCTTTAAATTCCCTYCCAACCCAACCCATTCCATGATTCTATCGCTGTTGGTGCTGGTGAGCCTCCAGAGGGTCAGGAAGCTGTYCCTGTGCTGGAGATGTCCCATGTGTGCAGCAGCTCGCAGCAGCTGAATAAATCCCCCCAGCGCCACCTGAGCAAAGCCATTGATGGGGATTAACCAAGGCCGAGCGATGCACGGCCCCATTCTGCGGGGTGGGACCATTCTGCACCCCCAGCTCCCCCCTCACGCTCGGGAGAGTGGGATGGGATGCTTTCACCGCGGGGGAAACTGAGGCACGGCAAAGTACCCTGCTCCTCCTCATTCCCCATCAGCAGCGCTCCCCCGATCCCCTGCGCTGCCCTCCCAGCGGTGACAATTCCCGGGGATCTGTGGACAGGGCTCTGCTCCCTGATGTCACACGCGTGTCACTCTCAGCCTCAGAACCGCTGGCTGTGCCCGCGGTGAGGGCAGCAGAGCCGGGGGACAGTGATGCCAATCCCGGAGGGGCTCCGGGCCCCCGCTGGTCCCCGCTGGACCCCGCTGGCCCCCGCTGGCCCCCGCTGGCCCCCGCTGGCCACTGCTGGCCCCGGGTGCAGGAGGCAGGGTCCCGGCGGATGGTCAGCAGCTTTCCCGGGTCCCGGCTGGGGGCACAGGGCACTGCCACCCTGTCCCCTGCGTGTCCCCTGCGTGTCCCCTGCGTGTCCCCTCCGTGTCCCCTGCGTGTCCCCCGTGCCCTGTGCCCTGCCCTGCCAGCCCGGCCGAGCACCCGCAGCAGCCGGAGGAGCCCCGCACTCTCCCGGGGAGCGCGGCACAGGGAGGAGCCGGGATGACGGAGCAAACAAGGAGTGGGTGGGAGAACAAAGCGCTGCGGATGCGGAGCTGTGCTGGGGCCTGGGAAGATGGAGGCACCGAGGGGAWGGAGGGATGCGGGGAGGGGAAGGGGCAGCGGGGCTGGCACCGGCCGTGGGACAGCTGGACACAGCCGCGCTGCCATCCGGGGGCACTGGGGACGCTTGGGAGGGGACCCCGAGATCCACCGTGCCCGCTGGGGCTGTGCGAGCTGGGGGAACCCCAAAATTCACCGGGTCCCCTCGCTGTCCCCTCCCCGGGCACAGCCCGAGCCCCTGGCCCTCCCCACCTGCCCCAGCGCCTGTTTCACCAGTGAGTAATGCTGAATTACAGCGCTAAGGAGCTCTCTGGGGATCCTTCGGAATAACAGGAATAGTTTATGCGATTTGCATAATTGGCATGATAGGATTTTGCATCACGTTGCTGAGCTCGGGGAAGCGTCCGGGGCAGAGCCGAGATGGTACTGGGGGCTGTGGGCACCTCTGGGGGGCTGTGGGCACCTCTGGGGGGCCCTGGGCATCTCTGGGGGCTGCCTCCCCCCTGCCCAGCCCTGCCAGGGAAGGACCAGCCGGTCACAGAGGGGTGACAGAAGGGACAGGATCTCCACGGCCACCACCTGCCCATGTCACCCCTCTGTCCCTGTCACAGCCCCACAGCACCCCGGGGCACATTCGCCTGTCCCGTGGCCACTCCTGGTGGCTGTGGCAGCCCAGCCCGGCTCCCAGGAAACAGCAAAACGCCGGATCTGGGGCCTGGAGGACACGGTGCCAAATTCCCACTGCTCCAGTTCCAGCCCCAAGGGCACCCAGCTCCCTGCTCGCCATCTCCAGCCCTTCCCCAGGAACGTGGCTGCTCCTGGCTCAAAGCACAGCCCAGCCCTGGCTCTGGCCTCCCCTCGTTTCCTCCTCTCGCTAATTAATCCCCGCGCTGGGCTGTGGCATTGGGGACACCCAGCACAGACAGCGCTGGCCCTGGGGACACCCGGTGTGGCCACGGCTTCACTTGAGGAGCCGCATTCCTGTGCGGGGCAGGGCAGCCCGGGCTGTTTGGTGACACCACGGGGACAAGTGCCACCTCCCAGTGCTCCTTCCACCCATCTGCCGAGGGTCCTGCGTGTCCCAGGAGGTGAAATTGTGGCTCCTACGTCAGAGCAAGCCCTGCTGAGGCATTTCAGCCCCTGCCAAGCGCCACCGTTCACCGGCAGCTCCTGTCTGGCACCACGAGCCAGCAAAGGTCACATTCCCGGCCGCGGCCGCGCCGTGCTCGGACAGACCCGCTTTGTTCCCTGCGCTGCTCTAATTAGGAAATTGCGCTGATTTTTTTTTTTTTTTTTTTTTTTTTTTTTCCCACAGTTGAACTATCAAAACTTGGGCTTGTTCCCTGCCAAAGCCTCTTGTATCACTGTGCTGGTGACTCAGCGTGACACCGGGGCACTGAAAACACGGGACAGGGCAGAGCCAGCGGTTGGTTCCCAGTGAGTCCCAGCAGTCGGGGTTGGGGGTTGGCACTGTTTGGGTGCAGAATGCAGCAYCCCCGGGCCTCTGAGCTCCTTTTTTTTGTGCCAAAAAGCAGCGGGACCCACGGGAAAGGCCCAGGGATCCGACACCTCTGGAGTTCTCAGCTTGTTTTGTTTTTCCATGGGTGTTCCAGGAAACACTGGGGGCAGTGGAGCAGAAAAAAGTGTCAGGGGGTGCAGCCATGCTGGGGTGCGCAGCTGTTTGGGGTGTGCAGCTGTTTGGGGTGTGCAGCTGTTTGGGGTGCACAGCTGTTTGGGGTGTGCAGCTGTTTGGGGTGCGCTGGCAGCCCCCCTCCCTGGCAGCGCTGCCGTCCAGCTGTGTTGGCATAGAAACTGCAGCGCCTCCTGTTACACAATTCCCTGAGAGCCCCGGGAAGAGGCTGCGAGGAGGGGCGAGAAGTTGCCCGGAGGGGCGAGGAAGGGCGACAGCTCTCGGTCATCACCCCAGAGCCACCCCCTGTCAGCTCCTGGAGGAGGGGCCGGCAGGGTCCAGCACAGCCCCGTGGCTCTGCTGCCCTCCGGACAGCAGGGAATAGGATCCTGTTTAAAGACAGTGCCCCTTGCAAAACGCTGGCAGGAGTTCCTGCTCCCCCAGGCTCATCCTTCRCTCCCAGGGGTGYGGGGTGATCCCATGGGATGGGACARTCCCTGKGGACAGAGCAGGGAATGGGCAGYGACATCTCCCAGAGAGCTCCTTGTTTGCCCCTTGSCCTGCACGGGGTCCCACATGGCCACACAAACCACGTGAAAGGCCAAGGAGCGAAATCCAGCACTGAGCACTGGGAGTGGCACAGAGATCCTGAGGAATACCTGCCCAAGGAATGCTGGAGTTCCCTGTCCCTGGCACACGAGCTGTGCCCACCTTTCTGTGGGCATTGTCCGGCAGCCACAACCTCTCCAGAGCCTCGGGGCATCCAGGGAGGGCTGCGGGCACGGCGGGGGMGGCTGAGGGAGGCAGGAGAGTGCGGTTTGTTCTTATTCTCCAGGGTTTAATTAACARCGAGCAGCGCTGCCTCCGCACTCCTCTCACTGCACATCTGGCCAACTCAAACACAGCTGGAGGAGCTCTGTGCACAGCCCTCTGCTGCCACAGCTCAGGGGCACGGGGAGCGCTCATTAAACACTCCAAACTCAGCTTTCCCAGGGCTGGGGGACCCCCAGAACTTCCCCCGGCAGGACGGGCCATGGGGGCTGAGCTGCCACAGGCACGGGGGAGCCAGGGACATCGGGTAAATTGGAGAGGTAAATCCAGAGTACCAAGCTGGTGTCCAAGAACAGCCAGAGGCTCAGGAACATCCCGGGTGGGGCCTCATCCTGCACCCGGGCCGAGCGTGGGGGTGGCAAAATGGGACAGGACAGTGTGGGCCATCGGGAGGGAGCCACACGTCCCTGTGAGCCCTTGACTGGGCACAGACTGGTCATGGATCAGTTGGCAATTCCAGAGTAATTCTTACCAAAATAACCCCATTTGGCCTCACTGTAAACCCAAGGAGGGAGGGCAGTGGCAGAGGMTCTCCAAGATCTCAGCCATAGGTTGGGGGCTGTGCCAGGACTGYCCTGGCACTGTTGGATCCATCCAAGGCTCGCGGGGCCATCGAGGCAAACAGGAGCCAACGGGATTGTTTGTGTCACAGCCSAGCCTGCTCTGAAACTTCCTGCCCACATCTCTCCCAGGAGCAGGGAGCGAGGAGGGCAGGGAGGAGGAAGGCGACTCCTGCTCAACCAAAACACTCCCTGTGAAAACACGAGGCTGGGAGAGGAGTCGGTGCAGCCACTGGAACCAGTTTATTGTCACAGCACAGCACAGAGGTCACAGCCCACTCCCGGCTCTTCCTCCCAAGGAGACCCTGCACAAGCTGTTGGGGCAGGGATTAGCAGAGGAAGCTGCGGCCAATCTGCTCCAAACTTTCCTGTTGGGTCAGTAAATGCTCTCCACCGTGCTAAGGAGTGGAAGGAGCTGCATTAACCCCTTCAGCACCAGCCCTGCTCCCTCTCTGCAGCCACCAGGACCTGGCCTGGCCCCAGCACAGCGTCCCTGGGAGGGCTGCTCGTGTCTGCCCTGCTGCCAGGACCTTCCTCAGAAAGAAAACCAGAGCAGAGGCACAGCAGCACCCCCTCCTCACCCTCTGCCCTGGTGACACCAACCCAGGGATCAGGGTGTCCCCAAAGCCACACTSCCAGGAGATCCCTACCAGACCATCCTGGGAATGCCAGCACCCCTTCCCAGGAATCCAGATTAATCAGGGGCACATTAAAAAACCCGACATCAGCCCGGCAACGGCTGAAGGAGCCTTGAAGGAAAAACTGCCCAGAAATGCTCCTGCCAGCGCTGCACCGGTGAATCCAAAGCTCTCTCTGCTGGGAATGGGCTGAGTTGCAGCACAGCCAGGACTGAGCACAGAACGAACCAGCGGGAGCAGAGCAGGATCCCGAGGCTGGAAGGGCTGGGAGCAGGATCTGGCTGGCTGGGGTGACCAGAGCCATGGTCCTGGGATAACCCAACACCCTGTCCAGCTCCAGAGCCACGGCTGCTTTGCCAACACTGTCCTGGTGGCACACAGAGCCCAGCACCATGGGGAGCATCCCAGCYCCTGGGATCACTCTTTGTCTAGCACCAGATCCCACAACCCCAAAGTCCCCAAGCAYCCTCTGGTCCTTCCGCTGTCACAGAAACGCAGATTAAGGGTTGTGGCTTCGAGAAGGTAATAAATAAAGATCTGCAGTGTCCTGAAGAGCATCTGCAAGCTGGCRGGTGAGCTCGCTTCCACCAGCAGCCAAATCTGCCACCACCTGGCTGGCAGGGCAGCRTTCCAGAGCTTTCAGYGTCCCAGTGAGCTGGCACTGCTCCRACTGTCCTCAGAGGGATGGGGCTCCCTCGAGCTGCTCCTGAGTCTCTGGAGGGTTGGTTTCTGAAGCTCCAGGCCCTGTTCTGGTGCAGCACGAGCCGAGGAAACTCATCCAGGCCCCGAGGAAACGTGTGGCAGGAGCAGAGTCCATGGGATCCATCACCATCTGAGCAAAGGTGAACTGTGACCTCTGGGGCAGAGTCCATGGGATCCATCCCCAGCAAAGGTGAACTGTGACCTCTGGAGCAGAGTCCATGGGATCCATCACCATCCGAGCAAAGGTGAACTGTGACCTCTGGGGCAGAGTCCATGGGATCCATCCCCAGCAAAGGTGAACTGTGACCTCTGGGGCAGAGTCCATGGGATCCATCACCATCCCAGCAAAGGTGAACTGTGACCTCTGGAGCAGAGTCCATGGGATCCATCACCATCCCAGCAAAGGTGAACTGTGACCTCTGGGGCAGAGTCCATGGGATCCATCACCATCCCAGCAAAGGTGAACTGTGACATCTGGGGCAGAGTCCATGGGATCCATCACCATCTGAGCAAAGGTGAACTGTGACCTCTGGGGCAGAGTCCATGGGATCCATCACCATCTGAGCCAAGGTGAACTGTGACCTCTGGGGCAGAGTCCATGGGATCCATCACCATCCCAGCCAAGGTGAACTGTGATCTCTGCTGGGGCAGAGTCCATGGGATCCATCACCATCCCAGCAAAGGTGAACTGTGACCTCTGGAGCAGAGTCCATGGGATCCATTGGTCCATCCCAGCAAAGGTGAACTGTGACCTCTGCTGGAGCAGAGTCCATGGGATCCATCCCGAGCAAAGGTGAACTGTGATCTCTGCTGGAGCAGAGCCAGCCAGGGAGGAATGCTGCTCCAGGCACAGCAGCAGCTCCTCGCTGCCATCGCAGGCCATTTCTGCCAGCCAGAGCTGAGCTGTGACGGGGCCAATTCCTCAGCTCCCAGCAGAGCTGAGCACCCAGCCTGAGCCTGGCCCAAATCACAGCCCCTTGGCTGGCTCTGGACAGGTCAGAACCGAGTCCTGGATGTGTGGGAGCTGAATGCTCCCAGCTCCGGYGCTGCCCAACAGGACAAGGACACCGCAGCCTATCCCCACATGTGACAGGAGAGACAAGGGACACAGGGACACCACAGTGATCCCACAGGACTCGTGCCTGCCCTGCACAAACACCATCACTCTGAGCCTGGGATYTGGCCAGAGCAAAGGCAGACTGACCACTAGAATCAAACCTACAGAGAAAAATTTGGCTTTGGATGTTTTCGAGTTGCTGTTTAATCCCGAGACAGCGCAGCTGAGTGAGTCTGGAGTTTAAGTTACAAAAAAAGAAAGCGCTAGAAAATAATCTTGATACAAGAGCAATAATCAGCTGAGGTTCCCCACCCTGTGCAGGGAATCCTGCTCCACAATCCACCCAGCACAGCTGGGATGCTGCCAAGGCATTGCCTGTGCCCAGCACATGCTGGGAGGGCAAACTGTCCAGGGTGAAAGTTTTGTGGGGGAATCCCCAGCACTGGGAGTTAAGATGCTGCCACCAGCTCTGGCTTTGGCCTGTTCTTGATGGGGGACACTTCTGTGGAAGGAAAAGAAACTTGTTACAGAATCAGGGAATGCAAATATCCCTGCAGCCATCTCCCTGAGGAGGATCCAGGGCTTGAGCAGAGCAGCAAATGCTTGCACAGCACCTGAACTAAAAGAAGTTTGTTAGAAATAATCCCACATTCCCATGTGGAAATGCCCCTTTTTCACAGMACTGAACAATTAGAGACCTTCAGAACATGCCCAGCCCAGCAAAGCCATCAGGGCAGGGACAGATCCTGGGCAGGAGCAGGGCCAGCTCTGCCCTCACCCCTTTGACCCGACACCCCTGAGCTGTGTTTTGTTTGGCCTCAGYGCTGACATCTGAGCCCTGTTTAGGAGTAAACAAGCTCCAAGGAAACCAGCTCCATTCCCCCTATCCCAGATTGCTCCTGGGCAGATTCCACACAGGGAAACTTCCAGYTCCTCTCTGCACAAGCAGGGAGCTCCAGCTCCAGCGAGTGACAGCTCAGGGTTYTGCTGGCCCAGAACAGATTTCACCAGTCTGAGTTTTCAGCTTCTCAACACAAACCCCTGTGGGCTCCTTCCCCACCAGGGCCTGTTTGGTCACTTCTTGGTGAGCTCTCCCCCTTCCCAGCTGGATTCCCACACAAATCCATCCAGAGCTCTCAGATAACTCAGGAAGACTCAGGGACCGTCAGTTGTGTGGAGTTTGTGCTCTGACAATCCTGGAGGTGTGGGACCCCAGTGATCCTCTGGTTCCAAATCGCTGTGAAGTGAGGTGGGAAGAGCTCCAAGCCCTCCCAAGCCTCAGGGAGATGCAGTGATGAGCAGTGTGACACCAACAYTCACAAAATAACCATCCCTGTGCTGTGATGATGGGACTGGAGCAGGGAATGTGGGAGGGAGCCCTGGATCAGGCAGGGAAGGGATTCCTTGTGGAGCCTCCCAACCGAACGAGGGAGCTCAGAGCAGGTAGAGGATGTGACAAGAACAGCACATGGCACCCAGGGAGCTCCCCAAGGGAAAGCCCAGATGCCAACAGAACAGAGAGCAGAGCCTTGGGTCCTTCTGGGCCTGTCCCCACTCCAGGAGCTGCCATTCCCTGCCACTCCCTGCCATTCCCTGCCATTCCCTACCACTCCCTGCCACTCCCTGTCATTCCCTACCATTCCCTGCCATTCCCTGCCACTCCCTGCCATTCCCTGCCACTCCCTGCCATTCCCTGCCACTCCCTGCCATTCCCTGCCATTCCCCAGGACAACACTCACACTGGCAGAGGGTCTCAGGCCATTGCATGGGACAGGAGCACGAGAAGCCAAAGCTGTGCAAGGAGAACATACCTGGGATCTTCYCCGGGAGCGGCTCCGAAGGAACTTCTGGAAGCTCCAACTGTTCCTACARGGACATTAAAGACAAGGTGTCACACACCACAACTGTGGGCAAAGTCTGGGGGTGGAAAGTCCCAAATTACCCCCCAAACTGAGCTCTGAGAGTGGGAAAAAGGTACTTTACCTTCTGTTACAAACAGCTTCCTGAAATGTGGATTTTAATCACAAGAACATCTTACCTGAGTAATAGCATTTAATTCTTCTAGAATGGCATCTTCATCCTCCTCAGTCAGGCTGCCAGCCAGGAGCTCATCTATTTGCTGTGGGTGAGAGGGAAGGACATTGAACTCCCAACTCCATGGCTCTTTAATACAATTCACATCCATAAACTCTGTGCACACAGAGGCAGAGCCCACTCCCAGCTCCTCGTGTACCCACCCTCTGGTACTCCACAGCATCCTGGGTTTCTCCTATTATCCTTTCCACCTCTTCTATGGACATAACCTGAAAGGAAGAGCCAAAATGCAGCTGTGGGAGGGGTCTGCAGGGAGGCAGCTCCAGCCAGGCCCCTCTGAACCACCCCAGCCACACGTACCTGGTGCATTTTGTTCAGACACTCGTTGCCTATTTTCAGACCCTCTATGACCTTCATTTCAATCTGGGTGAACTCAATGTCCTGGACCTGGAATGGGAAGGAGGAAGGGAAAAGTCTGTCACACCTTGGCCAGGAATTGGCACAGGCTGCTCAGGAAATCTTGGAAGGATTGAACAGATGTGTGGATGGGACATGTGGGGACAGTGGTGGCCCTGGCAGTGCTGGGGACTGACTGGGCTCAGAGGGCTCTTCCCATAAATAATTCCATGATTGGCATTATTAGGCAGACACAGGAGCACCAGAGAAGCTGCAGGGAGGAATCAGCTGAGCCCTTTCTGTCCTGTCAGTGCACCAGCAGCAGGAAATCTCCACACAAAATGCTCAGCACAGGCAGCTGCACCAGCAGGTCCAACAGCCCCTGAAGTGATTTCACCAGATTTTCCAGTTGCCAGTCCCAGCTGAGACCTCCCCAAACCCAAACACATTCAGTTCTGAAATGACAGTGCTGAGACAAGCCTGGGAAGTCCCCAGTGCAGCCATCCCCACTGTGAGCAACGTTTCAGCAATTTCCCAAACCCCCATTTAACATGGAACCTGCAAATTCTAAACACACCACTCTGTGTCTTCAGGGAATGGTCACACGTGCAATTTGGGAGACTTTGCCCTTGGACAGAGAGAGGGCTGAACACCTGCCAGGAATGGAATGGAATGGAATTCTACAGATCCCAGGGAATCCCCACCCCAGAACACCCCCAGCCCTCGCTCACCATCCGCTCCAGGTTGCTGATCTGGTTCTCTGTTTTATCCAGAAGCTGCTCCTGGTACCGTTTTTTCTTCAGCAGGAGCATGGCTTTCCTGAGGGACACGGAGGAAGGGAAACTCAGCACGGAGGAAGCAAATAAAAGAATCCCATCAAAGCCACGCTTGTTCTGCGCTTCTGCTAAAAGGGGACAGCTTGTGTGCAGCCTAAGTGGCAACCCTGAGTTGCTCCTGTGAAGAGCAAAGTGGATATCGGGAATAAATCTTTCCTTGGGAGGGTGGGAGACCTGGGCACAGTGCCCAGAGAAGCTGTGGCTGCCCCTGGATCCCTGGCAGTGCCCAAGGCCAGGCTGGATGGGGCTTGGAGCACCCTGGGACAGTGGGAGGTGTCCCTGCCATGGCAGGGGTGGCACTGGGTGGGTTTGAAGGTCCCTCCACCCCAACCCATTGTGATTCCTACAATCCAGGAAACCCTGGAGTGGCACTGACGCTCCCCTGCCCGCGGTGACCCCTTCCCCTCACTCTTTCTTGCCGTCCCGGAGCAGCTGCCGGGCCAGCGCCCGCTCCCGTTCCAGGCCCAGGCTCAGCCGCTTCTGGTACTGCCGGAGCTTGTCCCGCTGCTGCTTCAATTGCTGCGGGAGAGAGACGGGATGGACRGASGGGAGGGAYGGAGRSATGGACAGARGGACGGACACGGGTCACAACTCAGCTCTGCCGGTTCCAGCACCCCCCGAAGCGGCGCCGCCCCTCCCCCGGGCTCTCCCCGCCGTGTCACCCACAGCACCGGCACCGGGGATGGCTCAGCCCCGGCCTGGGCCCTCCATCACCGCGAGGACCCCACGGGAGCACCCGGAGCCAGGCCAGGCCAGTCCGGTGTCCCTCCGTTCCCCAGCATGGCCCGGGTCTAACCCGGTCTGTCCCCATCGCCCAGCACGGCCCGGTCCTGCCCGGTGTCCCCCGTTCCCCAACACAGCATGGCCCGGGTCTAACCCGGT